GTTACCGTCAACGATGACATTCCCAACAGAATCGCATCGGGAACAGTCGTGGTTAGTGGCGGTGTATTTTTGATGGAGAAGTGGTTGATCGCGTTGAGATTATTATTCAGATACTAACATGCATTTTCCGTTTGCATTTCCCATCAATTACTGTTGATTGATGCTATGATTTTTCTTGAAATTCATTGCGCTCGGTAATTGCATGAAAACAAACGCTTCTGTTGACGTCAGTGCAACTGCGAAGAAGCACAGCAATAGACTCGTTTTCCGGTGATGTGTTTTCAATTAGTCTTATTACTACCATTATATGACGGTGTTTGCACATCAAACGCCATTAATACATTCATCGTTACATTCACTTTGATTGCGATGTAATTTATTATATACACTTTTTCGAACTCCACCAATTTTCAGTGAGAATTTCATGTCAAATTTCATGCTTCAGATAAAGTCGAATGTTGAGAGCTTCTCAGAGAGTTCAGTGCAGTTTGACGATGGCACAGAGGTATGTGATGTTGACGTGGTGATATTCGCCACTGGCTATTCTTTTGGATTTCCGGTTCTCGAACATGGTAAACTGATTGAAGTGGTCGAGAATGAAGTCAGTCTATACCTGCATATGTACCCAACAGAACTAGCGTCAAAGGTTCGTCGATGTCTTTCTCCGGAATCCAAAGATTCAAGTGAGACACGTCGCGGAGAGAAAGTAGTCGTTTGGCAAGCATATTTTTTCGAAATAAAATGCGATGATCTATCGTAAAGATAAGTTTGTATGGTTAACACAAGTCCTGTTTTAGAACACATTAGCCGTAATCGGTTTCATTGAACCGGTTGGCGCGTTAGCTCCAGTCTCAGAAATGCAATGTCGTGTGTTTTGTGGGGTACTAAGCGGTAGAACAATACTTCCAACAGCGTTTGATATGCAGAAGAATATCGATGAGAAAAGGAAAGCGATGGAAAAACAATACGTTCGTCGAAGAAGGCATACCATACAGGTTCACTATTGCTGTTTATGGATCTTGCACACATTTGCTCATTAGGGACGCATGAAATACCATCAAGTACTGAACAGAAAATCACTATCCTGGTGTATTATCAAGTGCACTGATTGTTTTTGCTTCTAATCAATGTCATGCGATTAAGCTTATTGCGATTCAAAGAGTGAAAGTTTCCAGAGGAGTCATACAATCTCTGTNATAAGCATCAACAAAATGAATACTTTTTATCGATATTCCGAGGAAATAATTTCTGTGCTCACTTTCCTCTTTCTTAACTTTTCTGGTATTGCTAACTTCACATGCTTTTAAGGCTCCGTATATTGAGTATATGGATGAATTAGCAAAATTAATAAACGTCAAACCGAATCTTTTTAAATATATGTTCACCGATCCGAATTTAACCCGTGTTCTCATCTTCCATGGACTGGCTTCCTATCAATACCGCCTTGTCGTGAGTGATATATATACTTCATGATCTAACAATCAATGTTTTCTATAGTTCTTTCGAATGATCCTTGTAAAATATTGGTTGAATATTTCTTAGGGACCAAACAGTTGGTCAGGTGCACGCAAAGCACTAATGACTATGGAGGAACGAGTATTTGAGGTAACAAGAACGAGGCGAACAATGGAAACACTCAAATCGAAACCATGCAATAAATTCCTTCAGATTATTTAATGATTTCATTGTTTTAAGCTGATTTCGATAGCATGTTAACCTGATGGATTCAGTATTGTTTTACATTGGTTCATGTGATTGTTCGTGTTGAATTGTGCAACCAAAAACATATTGGAACATACACAGGGTAATCATTTAGAATTCTTAACTTTCGGATATTTGACAATGTATAAGCGAACTCCTTTTCGAGCAATTCTTTCAACACGTTCGATAAAACAATATTAAAGAATAAAACTCTGCCACAAAACAAGAAACAACATGTAAAATATAAGAATCGAACGCACGAAAGTTACACAGTTCCATAACCGATACAGTTCAGTGAGCAAATAAAAACTGCCGAACCGGACTTGCGATGCATACGGATTAATTGAGATCGCAATCGTAAAGATTCAGAATATTCCGAATGAATGAAAAAAAATTCTCGGTTCTTAATGCATCCATACCTATGTAACATTCAGTAATTGCGGTCAGGAACGATGAATCCTTAAAGGAAATGTTTCCGGAAAATGTAAGTACATCCAATTTCATGAGATATTTGTGAGCCTAGGCCATATGAAATAATTACCACCAATTTTGAATGCATCACTTTGATCGACCGTCTTCATAGGTTCGACGACTAGTATATGCCTCTGATGGCAATTCGTAGTCCCAAAGGACGCATTTCGGTTCATTCGTTTGGAACTCTTGCGATGTCAATTCGCCCGCAAATTGCGTATCACCATGCGTATCCAACGTAAGTCGTATGTTCGTGTTTATGTAACAATTCTGCAAACAAATGGAAAACTGTTAGGTTACCTTTCACCTCGCGGAAATTGCACTTTTTCGCTCCAATAGTCTACAGCTCAACTGACAGACCAAAAAGTTTCACTGGGAATTTCCGTTGGAAATATTTTGATATATCAGAATGGCTATAAAATGAACCTTGACTGCGATTCAAGCATCATGAGTGAAATTTGAATAAGGTGATGAATGAAAAATTATTACGTGATAACGTTTCCATCTATCAGGTGCGATGCACTGATGAGTGATGTTCAGGTAGGCATGATTGGCCTGTGAATGCAACGTTCCGGACACACTGAATTGACCAAAATGATCCGCCATTGTCCATTCACTTACGCGCAAATACTGGCGTCCTCAACACGGAAACATGTTTTCCCAACTCAGAAACTGGCTTAAGTGTATTAAGTGTACTATTTTCATGCAATGATGAATTCGATCTCGGTAAATATCTGGAAGCGCATTGTGGCTGGCAACATTGTGAACGTCTGATAGCATGACCAATCCAGATAAATCACTAATAGTAAGACAAACTGTTATTATACTCGCGAGGTTGCATTCCATCAATCAATTACTTAAAGGGCTTATTGTCGCCAAGTAGATTTAAAAAATCAATCACTNTCACTGTCAGACTCGGCAACGTTCATCCTTTACCAGTTGCTGGCAGTATTTCATTTGCTCCTTTGCACCAACTTCAGCTCCAGAAAGCTTTTAAATCTTCCGATTATTTCCAGAATTGTTGCTCTGAATACGTTCTCAAGAAAGTGTTCTGATAGTTGAACGAACAGACCTGTGTTGATATCTTCAAGTCCTTCAACCAAACTCAAGATAGTTCCATATGCCACCACACCATCACACGTCAGATTTCCATGTACGCTAGCGGCGAGTTTAGTGTTCTTCTGACAATTGACACCAAGCAGGTGTAATGCAACCACAGCGAGAAAATGAAAAAATTGATTGTATGGTGCCGATATCATTGATTATTATCGAGGCAGACGTTTTTATCTGAACAATCCTGATAATAGTTTCATAATAATTTTCACTACTTGTAACAAACTTAAATCGACAAGCATTTTCATCTAATTATTGCTGTTTGACATCGATCACATGCTGCTCGATCGGTCGCATTTCTAGCTGTTTCAATTGCAAATCAATGAGCTACACCTGAGTTCGTTTCAGGAAACATCAGATTGTAAACAAAATGGGAGAGATAATTTATATTAAAACAGACAACAACAAAACAGCAATCCACCTTACGACAATGTCGAAATGAAAAACTGATTGCGCTTATCTACAAATATCCCACGTCAACTTGCTTTAAGAGTTCGCTTCTTTTTCATGCAAATTTTGAGGCTCAAATAGCCACGCTTCGCTAGAGAATTATCCGTATGTGTTTGATCGCAACTGTTTTACAAAATAACTACAACAAATTCTCATGCATTTACCGATGAGAGAAAGTTAGAATCTATTAGCATTCTCCATACTAGCATTCCACTGAGTGTTCAACTATTCTGATGGTTTTAGAGGAGTAATTATTTGATTTGGAGGTGTAAATAATTGCACATCGAAAAACTGAACGAACTCTTCAACGAGACGTTTTCTAACCTCAACTCGTTGTCCTTGCATGATGCAAACACCATCAATGAACATTTGATGCAATATCTCTAGAATATGATCATCGGCCAGTCAAGGCTCATAGACATGATCAGTGAACGATTTGAATGTCAGCGATACCATCGTATCGTCACTTATTCGTCTGAACTTATTCATATCTCATATGAAGTGCATTATCAAATTTTATAAGCTACACCAAATTTAACTAACAAATAGACACATCTTATGCACACACAAATCTCATACCATCAAAATGTCACAATCAAAAATTCAAATTTTTAAATACTTGTGTAGAACATTCAATTGCGTGCTGATTAATCACAAGAAAATAATTCACTCGAAATGATTATGTAAATACCAAATAATTGCTCGTGATCTGATGTTTTGATCTTGTGCCACACATATGGCATAAGGTCAAAACAGATTATCAGATGGGTCATCCATCATTGTGCGATTAGCGCTAATGCCATAGTGAATCGCACATTCATCAATTTTGCGTGAGGCTGTCTTTCGTGTTAAGGTCCTAAGGCAGTGGTTCTCACGTTCGGGTACCCCATTACCTCTTTTGATTACCTGGCAGGCCGCCGTTACTCTCCCCCCCCCCCCCCCCCCCCCCCCCACCCCCAACCCCTGACACAAGAACATACTATTTCTAGCTGTAACGTCAGGAATAAACGGAAAACCAGTTCGGAACTCTCTCAGTGGCGTAAAAGAAATTAGTTTTCTATGATGAAACAAATATTTATTCATGCATTGCAGAAACAATATGAACCTCGCCAATCAAAAACGACAAATCAATCGCCTCATCCCAAAATGACCACGTGGTACACATTTGTCATGAAACAGATGACACTATGGAACGGTTCCTTCATTCACAAAAATTCATTTACGAACCAAAAATTCTTTTATATGCAGTAATTAAAAAACTTACCAAAACTTCTCAGTACAACCAAGCGGTTCGCTCATGGCAACACCCTTCTTTGTCCTATTTTGTGAGTGTCATTAGCTAGTCGATCCCGAGCAAAATCAGTTTAAAGTAATTACAATTATTTCGTATGCATCGGCTGACGTCGTCTTTCATGGAAAGCACGTATTGATTGCGCTCTTTGGGTACCGCAAAAAAGATCTTTGGTTTGGTACAGTGCAAGCGAGTGTTTCCGAATTCATTCATTTTCATTATTCGGTTGCGCTGCAATGTTTTGGTAGGTTTTTTGATTATATATTGCAATTTTTGCTTACATTAGTAAACGAAGTTTTTTGAAACAAGTAACTGCGCGCTCATGTCATAAATAAATATTTGATTTGTGAAATATGTTTTTTTTTTTCATTTTTCGTACCGGTTTTCCATTTGCTCCTGATGATATGTGTGGAAATAGTAAATTTTTGTAGCGGGGAGAGGGGAGGGGTAATGACGGCCTGCTGTATGATGGTACAATTGAATATCAAATATCCTTTTATTTTTCTCAGGAATTATCCTCTTCCGAAGTTATTTTCAGGAATTCTCGCCACACATTGTTAAAAATGTTTCCTAAATCTAAATATAACTGAGTATTCTACAAGTTTAATTTCGATATTTTGAACCTTCTATTTGCTTGCGACAGTTTCATTCCGAGCAACTCTGTGCTAGATATCATCAGGTGGTTAAAATCCATATTAAGATGACCCAAATAGCATAGCTTCATAATATTTCATCCTACACTCTATTCATTGTTCAATCAGGTGCAAACAATAAATAGAAACTCTCAAGCATTCAATACTGCCAACTCTCTTCCCATCTGAAAGTACTATTCACCTCGACCATTTAAAGGCACAATTTCATTCGGTCTAAACCCTGCCATCAATTTAATTGCTGCATATTACATTACTGCGTGATTCTGCTCGAGAGCATTTCCATGGCTCGAAGGCACAAGTGAAGCATAGTGCAATCTTTGCTCCCAGACACGGTGAGAATGCGCGATTGAGAAAATACTCAATAGGACAAAAGCAACGAATATATACTGTATGTCTACCTTTAGTAATTCGTAACGTTTAGAGAGAATTATGTGCTTGAATGTTTCCTGTATAATAGAAATACTTGCTCATTGGTGGTTGCTGGTGAGTGAGGTAGATGTCACTACTTCAGTCATTGCAAGAAAACATCATTAAATATTCTTCTGATCGGGAAGTTTTTCTTCTGTGTTTAATTCATTCTAAACATTTCATCGTAACGAGATTGTGAAATGATGCAAAAAGAAAACTCTCAATGGAAGAACTTCTCAAGAGTTGGAATTCAATACTCAACAAGACTTTTTTTGAGGTTTGCTAAAGTAATCCTAGCTATGCTCAACTGGTACGGCACACATCTAAGGAAGACACCGCTCTGTTGTATTGTAACTGAATGACTCAATATTTGGTGAAAGATTGGAGTTTTTGTAAGCAGTTTTCCGTTGGAATAGAAGTTTAATTGCAACAGAATCAAGTTTTGACATGAAGTGCTGAATGAGCTCAATGGAATATCATCAAAAAGCTGATGGCACTTTCATGAAAATGTCATTTTGACGTAACGTTTTCATTTTCTATCACGTTCTGTCTATGTAACAATGATCCGTCTCTTTCCTTCAAATTTTGCGATGCCAAACGTTCAGTGTGATGTTTCAAGGTTTGCAATGCAGCTCGACCAACTTCACAAGATTGTCTGATGGCTTTTCTTGAAAAGAAAGATTTCATGAGGATTATTCCAAGTGATGGATGATTCTTTGAATATGTGCTTGAGTAGGGCTAAACATTTGTCATTTTCATCGTGACTCATGAATTTCAATCTGACAGAATTTGTTGTTATTTGAGCTGCAGTAGTTTTGTGCATTGGGAATCATTTCTGCAATCCCACTGCTTTCAATTAGTACACAATTATAATTTAAATTGTTATTAATATTCGTTCAAAACTATGGAAGTTTAGACTTTATGACATCATCAGCATAAATTGAGCGATTCTCAACATCCTTACTGAAATGATTCATTTAATAGACACACCTCCTTTCTTCCGCACAGCTAGCAATATCAGTACATCGTATCAACTGTCTCCGTAAAAAAGAGTATTGATCTGAGGTTAGCATAATTATATGATAAATGATGGGGTTATGATGTGGTTCATTAAGTTTGTAGATTATGTTTAGGATAATTCGGAAGTTTGAAAACAAATCATTTATAAGCGATTGTGATGAATAAACGACTATAATAAACATTGGTTGCGAACAACTATAATAAACGTTACAGTTAAGGAATGGCCGGAAAAGGTGACGTTGAAAGTGTGACTGATATGTTCGGCAAGAAAAGAGGAGACAGGAGGCAATGTTGAAAGGGAAATGGGATTTGATATGCAAGAATAAAAGTGATGGGAGGGAGGGGGTTAATGAGGTTATATTTTGCGCAGTTTAATGAAAAACAAATAGAATAGAGAACCATTTTCATGAAATTAACTCTCTGTTCTATTGTATCGTGAAATTGAGATATGGTTTTATGAACATAACAGCCCCTTGATCCACCTTACGATTAGCATTGTGAGGTTGTTTATTGCGTGATCGAGGTCGATGTGGCACTTGTTTTGTGCTATTGAATGTACGAGTTTCAAGGTATCCACCTTCAATGGTTCCGACGTTCTTCATTTCAGATCAGATGTTCCTGCTTGCCTGAGAGTATTATTTTTGAGTCACTTTTGGTGTGCAGACCTTGGATGAAGATTATATTTTTATTGCCAGACTTCCAGTAGCACTCATGATGCTTGAACTGGTTGATGAACTTATTGTCCTTCACTCCAGCCATAAAGTTCAGAAATGGTATTAAGTCATCATTCGATTCTCCTACCGTCAACGAGCTGGAGATATGACGTCTGATGAGGATACGAAAAATTAATTCGTTTCTTCGGTTGTGTTGTTTGAATATCTGCGTAAGATAATTCGTAAAAAGTAAGACGATCCATGAATAACTTACGTTGAATATTTCCATTTGATTGAACTGAAACAGCTCTGTGTTGTCGACCTTAGTATAAAGGGATTCTATATCGAAGCTGCTGTAACAAGCGTGATTTGGGATATCAGATTGAGAGAATCTCTCCAAAAGTTGGTGAATGCCAACCACATGAGTAGATATAAGCTTCAGGAGAAGCTGAACGAGTGATTGTAGTCCCACCTACTACCAGACATTTTCTTGATTAAGTTGTTANTTACTGGATTATTATCAGTGAACATTTTCTCTTTTAAGGATGATGAATGAGCGCCGTCAGTTCGTTCTATCTACAAAACTGCATTCAATTGCAACTACTAAAGATGAGTGCAATACCAATGCATCTTGGGATTATTCAGTACGCATGTGTATCGTTCGAAAAGAA